TGTGTGTGTGTGTGTGTGTGTGTGCGTGTGTGTGTGTGTGTGTGTGTGTGAGACGGACCCCGTTGAGGTTGGTGCTTTTGGCCACGAAATAACCTACAAGGCTACAAGGCTACAAGAGAAAAAAAAAATTGGAAATAACGTAGAAAATAACAGGCGAAAACTCGGAAAAAGCTTATTTTGGCTGGTTGCTTTTTTTATTTTTCGTTTTTAATTAAAAAAATATATATTATTCGAGGAAACAAATAAAAAAAATGTGGGGGGTTACCTTCCGATGACCCCCACCCTCCTATAAAAAGAAAACATAACCCCCCAGCCAAAAAAAAAAAAAAAAAAAAAAACCCCGCTCTCCGTGAACTCCATGAACTCCGGTGTCTTGAACTCCGTGAACTCCATGACGGGTCACAGACCCCGTGAACGGTGAACGGGGGTACGGAATTGCCCACAACCGCCATCTTCTGCCTGTTGCTAACGTAAGAACAGTTATCCTGCAGATTCGGAAAGCATAACCCATTCTTCAAAACCACTCTTTGGTTTTTATGCAGCGCCGCACATCTGACCCCCACTGGCCAATAGAACACACGGATAACACATCCCAAAAGTCAAACTGGGCACACTGGAGAGGCCCGCTACCTTAATGCCTCAAACGGCAACCCTTTTGTCAGTGGCCTGCGGGGCCGCGGGAGGACCCTTATTGAGACCACCTCCAGAGGTGGTCTCAAATTACCTTTGGATTTTTTTTTTTTTTTGTTTATGTTTGCGAATTGCAGAAAATAGTAGACCAAGAAGACAACCCGCCAAACAACTGGAAGTGCGACCAGAAACATTTACGTTGTAGCGAAGGGCCACTCGTTATACTGGCATGAGAAAAAAAAAAAAAAAAACATCCATCTTTTTGTTTGGTCCTCGCCCGTGTGCCCGGGCGCACTTGCCCTGAGTGCAAAGTGTCAGGATCGCGACTTCGAGCTTTCTGGACGAAGAGCCTTGTTAGACACTCCTTACGGTTTCCTTGAGCCACAAGGAAACGTCCTTGTGGTTTTTTAGGGGAATTTGCGGCGTTGTTCCACTCATCCTTGGGCACGTCCCCCGAGGATGTTTCCTTGTGGCTTCCCCGCGGCCATTTTCATACGTAAATTAGCGGCCGCGGGGTCGGTCATCCTTGATCCAGCTTCTTTTGCCGGTGTGGAGGCGGCATGGTCCAGCGACGCGAGGCGGGAAACGGCAGACGGCGGGCGACGCGAAAAGAAATTTAACCCCAAGGGCGTGGGCATTTGAAATTCAAAATTCGAACGACTGCTGCAACGACGATGACGACGTGTGCCTGGCGGCGCGAGGGTGGCGTGCTGCGGAAAGGGGCTCGGCGGCGGAGGTTCCATCCCGAGGCCGTTGCGGCTGTGCGGGCAGCGTGTGGTGCTTCCATCGCTGTGGACCTTTGCACACGTCGACTGCGCGTTGCTTCTCGTTGCCGTTTGCGGGACTGTAAGCATAGAAAAGGGGCCTCCTTTCGACGGACGTCTTCGACTTCTTCGTCGCGTGTGGAAGTACGACACAGACGGCAGCGGAACGACGGGACCGTTTCCACGTCGCGGCTATGGAGGGCGGCGCAGAGGGTAGACGTGATGTGTTGACTCCTCGTGAGCTGCAGGCCGTGGCGACGGCCGTGTCCACGATCGTTCTTCGATGTCAGCAGGAGAGGGCGCTGGGGCAACTGAAGGAGCAGTTGCGCGCGCGTAGATGGAGGAAATTTACGCAAGATCCGTGCGATGGGGCCGAATACGTGGCGACGTCAGAGTCTATTGTTCAGCTGTGCTACGCGTTGGGTTGCGGAGTGATACTACGTGCGACGCCGCGGTGGTGGGTCAAGCGCAGGATTGGAGGCACATGGGAAAACCTAAGGCAATGCGACGATGCGACATACAACTACTTCCGGGATAAGCTTTGAATATCGCCGCGAGTGTTCCGGGAAATAGCGGAGGCGTGTGCGCCTCATCTTCAGCGGCGGGTGACGTTCTACAGGGAGCCTTTGCAGCCGGACTAGATTGTGGCGTACGCTTTGTAGGTGGGGTTCAGGGGAGACGTACGAGAGCAGCACGTGCAACTTCGGGATTGGATGAGCTTCTGGCCTGATTGCCGTCCGCGACGTTACTGCCTCGCTGCTAAGGGTGTTCGGAGAGAAGATCGCGTGGCCGACGAAAGTTCGTAAACTCTTCGTTCTGTGGGCGTTTGCTGATAAAGTATTCCCCAACTGCCACGGTTGCATTGATTGTACTCACATCTACGTCGACAAGCCGGCGAACGCTCCGAGCGAAAACTACTACGACAGGAAGCGCCGTTTCTCCATCGTCGTGCAGGTTGTCATCGACATGGACTTGCGTGTGCTCGACTTGCACATGGGATACCCAGGTAGCTGCCACGACATCAGGGTGCTGCAGTTGTCCAGCCTGTCGCTGCGCACAAAGGAGAGGTCGTTGTTCCGTGGTCCCTACGTGACACTGCTGTTCGGTGTGAAGATGAACGGGTATGTTCTGGCGGACAATGGCTACCCCCTTTCCGAATGGATGGTCGTCCCGTATGGAGGCATCAATCAGCACGTCGACGAGGAGCGGTTTGACAACAAGCAGAAGGTGGCGAGGGGAGCGGTGGAGAGGGCGTTCGGGAGGCTGAAGGGCATGTGGCGGCTGTTTCTGTGGACACACAAGACAAACCTGGAGACGCTAACGCAGCAGTTCACCGCCGTGTGCATACTGCACAACATGCTGATCGACGTTGGAATCCCCTTCGACGAGAATCTGCTATGGGAGGTCGACGCTAATGGTGTGCGACAACGTGTGGCCCTGGGGATCGAAAAGCCCCTCCAGCCTGTGTCGATGATGACGTCGACAAACAAAGCGTTGGCGCTGAGGGATGCTTTGGCAAAACGTTTGGCGGAACGATTGAGTCGTGTTTCATTCATGAACGGCAGCGCGTGGAAGTGCAGTCATTGCAGCAATGGGCGAAGGGCATATTCCTTGTTCCGTCCTGCCTTCATTGGGTCGCTATCGTCTGTAACCCGTCGGGGTTTGTGGTTTGCGTGGAGGGTCGTGTTCCCCATGCTGGACAGCAGCGCGTGGAAGCGCGTTCATTGTAGCAATGGCCGGAGGGCAGATTCCTTGTTCCGTCCAGCCTTGATTGGGTTGCTAGCTTCTGTCCTGCGTCGGGGTCGGTAGTTTGCATCGTGGGTTGTCTTTGGTTGCAGTCGCGATTCACGGACTTGCGTCGCCGTCCGTTTTCTTGAATTTTGTTATTACCGTTGAAGTTGTGTAGTGCGGACACGGCGCACTGCGGGTGTGAAGTGCGCCGATTTTGAGCACAGAGGATAGAGCACTGTTGGTCATTCGGGTGGCCCTGAAACTTCTCCCCCACCTCCCTTCGAATTTGAACTTTCCGCTATGAATCGCAAATCCCTTTCTAAGTTTATGTCGTCGATTTCCATTACGTGTTGGCGTTGTGTGTGTGCGTATTTCATTGCGTCGATATTGTGTGTTGCTATTCTTTTGCGTTGATCCATTGTGCCATTTCATGTTCACAATATGTTTTGTGGAACATCACATGTTGTTTGATGTGTTGCGCTTTGTCTTCATGCGAGTGTTGGACTGGAACACAAACACATGTTTTGTTTGTCATTCAGAGTAAGTGGGGGAGGGAAAAAAAAATGAAAACCAAACAAAACAACGACCGACAATGGCACATGCAAATGGAGATGAGACGTCTAAATGTGCATCCAAGAAAGCAAGGACCGTTCAGTGTGTGATGAGTGATCAGTCATGATTTTAAAACTGACGAAATCTCCTTCTGAATTGAAATTTAAAAAAAAAAGGTGCGCTCCAAGCGCGATCAACTAATCTCGTCGCAAACTGCGCCGACAACAACACAAAATGACATTGCAGAAACCTACTCCGCTCCTACAATACTCTGAAGAGAGCGCCGTTTACCGTCGCTTCTCCAGCATCGGCAGCCAAACACCATCCACATCCACAAGCAACCACGACCTCAGTTGCATGAAGCACCCTGCCAGACTGGACGACCGAAACCGTCGGGCGTTTGCACGCACGAGCGACAAGGTGTAAAAACACATTTGAAGTAGTCTTTCCCGCCGGAGAGGTTCTGGAACTTGTAGACCTTCTTGAATTGCTGCATCAAGTTGTCTCATTTCTTCCTGCAATCGACGACATCCCTCGTCACACCCATCGACAGCAACCTCGCCCGCACGTCCTCCCACTTCCACTCCCTCGTTTTCATGCGGGCGAAACTAGTGCCCATGCCGACGATATACAGATCTTGATCCCTTTTGCCCTGACGAATGCGATCGTGTCTCCGACCGACCAGAAATTTCGGCCGCCCTCGCCATCGCTCCGGCCCGTGTCGTCATCCATTTTCTTGCTCCGTCGACTTTTTGTAGAGGGACCCTTCCTCGCAGTCGTTCTGCCATTCGTCGCCTTCCTCCCCAGCGGCCTAATGTCTGGCAAATCGTCAGAGTTGCAATCGTCGTCACCGTCAACGTTGTCATACCCCTGGGCCTCCTCAACAGCAGCTTTGTCCCCTTCGTCCACGTGGAGCCGTTGCACCCCTCTCGTTATTGTCTCCGTTCCACGTTGATGCAAGGTCTGCCTGCACTCTGCCCACAACTGCCTGCCATTGCGATGCACGTCCGCACCTTCGTCACTCAAATCCTCCGGCCGCTGTCGTGCAGTGCCATCGAGGAGGTGCGCCGGATCCGCTTCGCGACGCAGGTGACAACCGCATCCACTCCGGACGTTCATGCGCACCGACTCCTCCGCCGACGGTCGACGTCGACTCATTCCGATTACCACCACCTTCACGAAGCGATTGAGGCACACCGCCATCTCGTGGCCCGCACACACCACCGTGCGTGTTGTCCACGCAATCCACACCCGGGTGGGGATTGATGATCCGAGTGTGCGTTGCCGCTGCTCTGCTGCTGTTGGACAACTGAAAGCTGAGATCAACCTTTGCACTGCCATCATCGTCGCACAACCCCTTGTTCAGCAGTGACGTGAAAGACCACAGCGTCTCCACCCGCCTGCCGCCGCACGACTGCGTTGCCGCCCATTCCTGTGTTGACCCACTTCCCAACGGCAAAGTCGACGACCTAGCGTCTCCCCCCTCGCCATCCGGCGGCGGCAAAGGAATCTCATGAGAAGGCAGGTGTGCATACAACCTCGGGTCGTACGACCGCTTCGCCACAGACCCCGCACTGTGTTGCCAATTGCTCACTCTGGAGGCTGTGCCTGCTGGTCTGCCGTTGCCCAGTCGTCGATCCATCCTGTCGGCTTTCTTCGAAGATCTCCTTCTGCGAGCCGCGACCAAAAGGAGGCCGACGAAACACACGTGGAAGAAGACAATGACGAGAAGCAGCACAGCGACGAGGAGCAGCAGAGGCAGCCTGTGCAGCAGGTCGGCCATGTAAGGGCCATTCGAAGGGCTTCAGTGTGACGTCGGCGGTCGATCGTTCAATGAACAAGCCCATCGACACAAGAAAGATCGGTGGAAGTTTTGTGCTCCAACGTGCGAGGCGTGACGACAATCGAAGAAAACGACGATCTTGTCCAATGAGACTTTCGGCATCGAAAGGGATGCCGGGTGGGAAAAGCATTCGAATTTCGGACCGTTGTCGACGATCGCCCGCCGCAGTAGACCTGACTGGACGGCGGCCTGCATTTCGAGTCGACGGACGGAGGCCTCCCGACGCCGGTTGCCGTTTGGAGCCGTTGGGACGTCGTGCAGATTTTGGACGCAGGGATGTCCATGCTCTGGTTCGCTGGACCACGTCTGGACCACCCTCGAACCGAAATTGTGCATCGACGCATGCCTTCGCCGCTCCAAAATTTGCGCTTTCTTGTGCTCCGAGGGACCTCGGGAGGTCCCTTGGGGTTAAGAAAAAATTGGCTGTGGCCACAAGGAAATCTCCTTCTGGTGTTTTCACATTTTTTTTCGAGAATCGTCCCCAAGGACAGGTGGAACGATCATTTCCATGTGGATTTCGGGTCCACAAGGAGTGTCTAATGAGGCCCGAAGTCCGCCCGTGGTCACACGGGGACCAAATGCCTCAAAATTTTGAGACTTTTGGTCCTCATGTGAGTATGCCCTGAGGGCAGACTCACACGTAGTACTCTGGACTGAGTACTCCAAAAAGTGTATCCAATCGCAATCACGGCCAAAGCTTGTTTTGTTTTTTGGGACATGCGGATTTGCCATGGCCCCAAAAAATAAAAAACCTGTGTAGCACACCAAACACGTTCGGAGCTTTCCCAAATGTCCGAACATGTTTAGGTGTTCCTCCGAACGCCTCCCGAACGTGATCAGCCGAACATATAAAAAGAAAAAAAAAAGGAAAAACTCCTTTTTTTGGTTTCTGATTTTTTTTTGAGGTAACTTCGGCGGAGTCACGAAAACAGTTTGTAATTGCACTTCAGGCAATCCCGCGAATACAACACACCCCCACGCGACCCCACCGGACCCGAAACGTAGGTCATTTACATTCAGCATTACGGGCCCTTTTGCCTCGAGTGCAATTACAAACTCAATCCCTGACTGCGCTGTAGTTTTCACTTTTGTTTTTTATATATATTATTATCGCTAAGGCTGTT